AAAAAAAAAAAAAAAAAAAAAAAAAAAAACCCAGGCTGGGGATGTAAACCCTCATGGGTTCAATCCCTGGTACCAAAACAAAACAAAAACTTTGATTTTGATTTTTCAGAAATTACTCAAATGGCATCTAAAAGCTATGTGGTACATTGGAGAGCTTCTATTCCCAGGAGCATCATAAGTTCTTGGGCAATTAATATCTCCATCTGATTCTCAGTTTCATCATCAGTAAAATGCATCTTACTAGAGAGGAAGAAACCAATGAGAAACAAATCCTCTTTAGTTCCTCAGGGTCCCTCCCTCTCTTATTCCCCCACTGTATGGGGTAGTGATGCATTAGTAATATAACTCTTAGATAAAAGAAGGTACTTGAGTAAAATGGAGATGAATTACGGGGAAATTATTCAAGGAAAAGAGGAATGGCCTTGGCTCTAGTTAGAAAGCAAATGGCAGGTTATAAGCAGATAAGCGTAAGAGGTTTCTTGAGTTATCATTGGAAGCATTTGCCTGTGACTCAAATTAAAGTAGGTGGATTAATAAGAGGACCAGTGCACATGGGTGAAACCTGTTTTAGTATTTTTTAATTTAATCTGTATTTGAGCCAAGAAAAGTCTCTGTAAACAGTTGTTTTCAGAAGAATGCCTGGGAAAGAGGGAATAGGCAGGCACAAAGCCCAAAGTTTGTTGAAAAGTGAATGTTTAATTTTTGTCTTTTGAGATATAGATATGTCCTCAGGACTTTGTTCCCATTCACCTTCAGTCAACAGTGTCCCTGTTTCCTGGAGCCATGACCCTTCTTCTTCATGTGTTTCCTCCTTTAACTATTACCTCTGTTACTGAATAAGTGTTGTGTTGATTGCTATAAATGTTACTGTTATAACAGAATTTAGAGTACATGTAATTCATTCCTTCCATCACCTAATTTTGTAATTACTCCTAAGGACAGAATCACACATGTATACTCTGTATAAAGGAGGAAAGTACATAAACACTAGAATCTTTGGAAGGAAAATTTCATGCTTCTTGTGTCTACATGTGAGGACACAACTGGCTGGGGAGAGAGACATAGGAAAAAAATCCAGAAAAAGGGAATGACTTTTAAGTTCAAGTTGTCAGAACATTTTTCATTTTTAAATTTACTTATTTTATATATTTATTATATATAAATTTTATATATTTATGTGGTTCTGGGATGTGAACCCAGGGACCCTTTACCACTGAGCTACATCCCCAAGTAGTTAAGTTGCTGAGTGTCTTGCTAAATTGCCCAGGCAAAACTGTGATCTTCCTGCCTTAGCCTCCTGAGATACTAGGATTACAGGCATGTACCACCATACCCCACAGAACATTCTTTTTTTATGAGTATTTTTTTTAAATCAGCAATGCTTTGCATGTATTAAAATTACCGACAAAGATATAATGTTTGTTAATCATAGACTATAATTTCTTGTATTTTGAAACACACATGAGTAAGTACTAGATGTATTTTAATGAAATAGCAAAACTTTCTTTTTTGTACCAGGGTACTTTACCACTGAACCAATCCTCATCCCTTTTTATTTTTTTATTTTGAGACAGAGTTTTGCTAAGTTACTTAGGCCTTGCTAAGTTTCTGAGACTGGCTTTGAATTTGCCATCCTCCTGCCTTGGGCTCCAGAGTCACTACGATTACAGGTGTGCACCACCATGCCTGGCTGATGTGTTTGTTTTAACAACCCTATTTTCTCTTTCAACATAACCTCCTTCTGCCTAGTTGAAAAGTAAAGAAATGGCTTTTTGCATTATCAACTATGTGAGCAGGTTGTGAATCCTCCAGGGTTGTCAGGCAGAGAAGGGCTCTGACTGTATTCAGAGGCCTGAGGCTACTCCTTCCCACTACCTCGTGACTAAAAGTAGAGGCAGCTCTGTTCTGATGAGATGGTGCTTGAATTGGTGTTTCAAGGCCAGAGGCATGTATGTGTGTGTGTGTGTGTGTGTGTGTGTGTGTGTGTGTGTATCCATGGGTGTGTGTGCAAATTGTGGGTTAGGGTAGAGCACTTTATCTTAGTTCTTAGGCTATTTATCAGAGAAGGGACATATTAATCAAGTCGTTTCCAGCTGTGGGAGTTGGCTCCTGCTTCTACTGATGAATGCTGAAGCAATCGAGGTGTTGCAATCAGTCTGGCATCTCTCCTCCCTAACAAACAAGTGGTCCATAACTTTTTAGACCTTAGCTCTCCAGTGTACTTTTAAATGGTAATGTGTGATTAATTTAAAATAGGTACCATTTGCAAATGGTGTTTGCCCACAAAAGGAACCAAGCATTTGGGCACTCTGTTGGATGCCAGTTGAAGCCCCATCTTGTGGGCTCCTATGTGCTGTTATTTCCCTTTGCTCCTGAAATACTTTAAACTTTGGCACTTGGCAGAACAAACTTTGGCTTTTGGTGATTGATGGTACATCAGAGGCATGCCAGCCCCTCCCTTTCCAAGGACTCCAGGACCTCTGAGGCATCAGGTCCTATGGGCAAGCAGTATGTGGCAGTTTGCTTCAGTCCTCTTCTCATTACCCCCAACCTCTTTTCCTTTTAGCTCAGGGTTTGACTGGAGATGCTGGGACAAGGACAACAGTGAAGCTCAGGCAGGTCTGTGTTCCAACAAAACTGAAAAACTGGTCCTTTTCCATACAAGGGGTACTTTGCCACTGAACTATATCCCCCAGCCCTTTTTATGTTTTATTTTGAGACTGAGCCTTGCCACCTACTTTTCTTCTACCTTAAATCATCAAGCTTCCCCAGTTACCAGAAACTGTTCTTAACAAAGGATCTGAAGCACATTCCTAAGGTTGTATAAATTACTGTCAGATATGTAAAGACTTTACCCTCCTAGGGATTTTTTTTTTCATTGGAGCCAGGACCAATACCTCAGAAATGAAGGGTACTCAGTGGGATTTCAGGAATGAGCAATAAGCTAGAAGCAGAGCCTTCCTGAGACCCTTGAAAGCCTTCGTTCTCTGTCTGGAAATCAGGACTGCCTAAGTTAGTGACTGCTACCATGCCACTCTCATTTGTAAGCCTTCAAGAGAAAGGAGTGATGGTTAGCAGACTATTTTCCTGGTTACCCTATCCTGAAGTAAAACCAGGTTGATCCCATCCAATTATAAGTCCTCCAAATCAGTGCACCTTTTTTTTTCTGAAGTTCCCAGCCTGCAAATTAGCTTTTAACCTACACAGTAAGGCTGAGTTTTTACCTGTCCTGTTTCAGCTCCCTCTGAGAGGTCTATTCCTGCAATACAAAGTGACCTGTGCTTCTGAGAGTGACTAAAGGTGACAATACACAGTGTCCTCTTCCTTTCTGGTAGAGCAAATGGTATGAACCGATGCTCCAGTTCTTGTGTCCAGACTTGCCTCAAAAGTGTTCCAACATGATTCCCATGTGGGGGAAGGTAGTTTGCCCTTGCTCCTGCCCCCCTACTCCACTCCTGTAGTGAATCCCTAAAAGAGAAGAAGTACAGCTTTAGTTATCTATATATGATTATCTACATAGAAAGATGGAACAAAATGTATAAATTGACAATCTATTGAAGTGAATATTATGTTTCCCCCTAGATACAAGATTACAAGGTAAGAATACAACAATCACAGTGAATTTCTTCCTTTTTTTTTATTTTTTGAGAGTGGGGATTGAATCAAGGGGTGCTTTGCCACTGAACTACATCCCCAGCCCTTTTTATGTTTATTTTGAGAATGAGCCTTGTTAAGTTGCTTATGGTCCTGCTAAATTGCTGAGGCTGGCCTCAACTTGTGATCTTCTTGCCTGAGCTTCCTGAATCACTGGGATTGTGGACTTAATTATACTGCTTTGCTATTGACTCTCTGAGTTTTAGAGAGATTTCATGAAATAGCTAGATGTGGTTCAATTCCCAGTACCAAAGAGAGAAAGATAGATTTTATGAAACAAAACTTATTTTTATTTAAGTTGTATGTGTGTGGTATGGAGGTTGTACCCAGGGCCTCACATATACTAAGTGAGCACTCTACTACTAAACAACAACCCTCCCCACTCCTTTATTCAATTTTTTATTGCAGGGTCTTCTCCCTAGGACTCAGGAAACTGAGTCAGAAGGGAATGTAAATGACACACACCATACTCCCCACACTGCTGTGTGGCCTGTGTATCTTTCTTCTACCCCTCATCATGTTCTTCTGTTAGGATGAATCCTTTCTTGAGGCATTACAGGTCCTTACACAAACAGACTTCCTTCAGGCTGACTCACCTGCTTTTCAGACAGACCAGCACATATCTGAGGTTAACTCAGTGCCGTCATCTTGGGATCTCTGCTAAATGCTTGCCTGGTTGCAGGTATGTACTGGATGCCATGACTCCACAAAGAAAGAAGTAGGCAGCTCTTCAGAGGATTGGATGGGGATTGAGAAGAACTAGCTGGAACTCAGAGGAGGCATTGCTGAGCTGAGTCTGGAAAAACAAGTAGATTTTCTCTCTGCAGTTTAAGGGCTTGAAGTCTGACTCCACCATTCATCTGCTGTTTGATCTTGGAGTTTCTAATAAGCAAAAGAGACTTATGTAATACCTACCTCACACAGCCCAGAGGGTTAAATGTAGCCATGCATATGAGAGCTTCACAGAATAAAGGGTAACACTGATTATTATAATTACTGTAATGATTTCAAGTGCAGTTGCTTTACTGGCAGCCAGCCTGTCTTGAGTTGTCACTTTCTCAAACATAGGCAGATTGAACACCTGGTGTGGGGATGACAACAGAGTGTTGAGGATTTAAAACAGGATGACAGTGTTCTAGATGCTGCACAAATTTAGGTGAGTACTGGGAGTCTGGAAATTTGGGGCATCCCACTTTTGCTTAATATTTGAAACTATGGGATGTAGAAAGTGATAATGGTGACTGAGGCCCATGTTCCTATATAAGTAGTGATGCTACTTTGTGAGTGTCTGAAAGAGCGAAGTTGCATCCGTGGTGGAGATAATCAATTTTGCAACTGTTTTTGTCAAGGAACAGAAAATGGAGTGCTCAGAGTTAGTCTCTTGTGCACAGGTAAAGATAAAAGAAAGGCGAAGCCTTTACCATTTATGTGTGATATATCAAGTGCATAAATGTATTCTGCTGTCATATATAACCAATTAGAAAAAATTACAAAAAAAAAATTTAAAAGAAAAGAGAAGCCTAAGAAACACAGCAAGGTTATTTCTGGGGGTAGCATCTGGGAGGCTGAGGTAGGAGGCAGGGTATTAATAGCTGTCACATAACCTTCACTAAAAGTGTTTTTCTGGTTCCATGAAATTTCTGGTATAACCTTCTTAGCATCCTTTCATGAAACCAAATTCAATAGATACACAGAAAGTACAGTAGAAAAGCAACCACAGGAAGACCATAACTTACTCTATAGACTTCTTCCAAGGCAGTTCTTGGAGTTGGCTCATCAGGTCAAAGATAATGTCTTAAAGATTCAGATAACTGTGTGTGAACAATGAAACCTCAGTTCTGTTGTGGGCGAGAATAAGAACCATGGACATCAGAAAGAGGCAGCTTTGGGATGAAAGACCATGTTTATCAAACTTTTCCCCCAGGACAGATTTCCAGTCCATTCAGGTGGGTTAATATTTGATCCAGTCATGCCCAGGGAAAAGGTGAATGACTCTCCTCGTTTGTCTAAGAGCAGGGTCCTTGGTTTGCTTGTCTCTGCCAGGATTTGGGACCTTAGGTCAGTTCTCCCACCCCTTCATGTGAACACTATATAATCAGAACCAGGAGGGACCTCTACGTTCACACAGCTGGAACTCATCTCCAGGAAGAACAGCCAGATCCATCTCTAGTTGGAGGGAAACTGCCAGATTTTTGTAAGACTCTTCCTCCTGGGTAATCTATTGTTATATTTCTTTATATCTATATACTATTTCTAGTCATTCATCCATTTCAATGAAATTCTTTATCCCTTTTTAAGATCTCTGGGACCAAGTTGATGAGATAAAAAGAAAAAAAAATAAGACTCTCAAATTTAAAATGTAAACAGTTTTCTTTTGGGATAACCTGTATGTGTATAATAGGAAATTAGTGGGATTGGGAGCAAGTGGAGGTTTAAGGCCATTCCTAAATTGTAATAAAATCCCCAGAGATCTGGAAAGCCATTTGCTAAAGGGCATCTGAAATACTTATGCTCCTGCCCCCATTATAAGCATTATATGTGGTTTAAGGAGAGATACAGAAAGTATGCTTTTAGCACTGTTTCCTTCTAACATCCCAAACAGATTTCTTTACTTAGAAAAGTTTTGGAAGCTCTTTAAAACCAAAGTGGAACACTTTGTTTGGGATCAAAAGAAGGTACACTGGCCAATTGAAGGGAAGAAACAAGAGAGATAATGGGAGGAATATGCATTTAGTGTTATTGTTTCCCTCAGGAAGATATTGCCCTAGAATGTATAAAAGGGCCAGACTACATTTATGAAAATGATAACCATAATTACTCATCATAAACTGTCATGTTAACTCGCTAGTACCTAAAGGTTGGTACATCCCTTGGATACAAAACATTACCTTTGAGAAAAGGATGGGGATATTAATTGTTATGAAGACTTAGGGATTAGTTTGAGATAAAAGATAAAGGAGTCTGAAGAACATTGGGACATATTCCACTGATAAAAAGTCAACTGACAGTTCCATGTTTGGGTATAGATGCGTATCTGAATAAAGCTCTGTATGTATAATACACCAAAATACATTCAGATCCTTGGCCTAGGCGGATTCATTTCTACCTCACAAATAATCTGGCTCTTACTTGTTTTCTCTCAATTCCATTTTGCCTGGTCTTGGGAAATTTGGGGTTGAATATGTAAATGAGGAGGTTGAATATGTGAGGAGGCAGATTGTAAATATCACTAGTTGTGGTGTGTGCTGATTGGGGTTTGGTTTCTATGTGTTTTAGGGAGTCAAGATTACAATAAAACTGAACAGTCCGAATTACAAAATGAGTTTACGAATTCTGCAAATTGGAAACGTTACCCCTCCCCCTTGCCATATTAAGACCTGAGGGCTTTCAAACTCCAAAGAGTAACCTGTGTTTTAGGAGGTAAAGCCCTCCTATAGTATCAGTCGAATGCCTTAACTAAAGATGATATGTGGACTTGTCTTACACACCTAACTTTAAGAGATGATGCATCTCAGTAAGACAGGACTACAGATCACCCTATTTCCAGTTTCTGATACCCTTATGGTCAGATTATCATTTTCTTCTTCCTCTTCCTCCTCCTCCTCCTCTGCTAGCTGTGCCTTATGCCACCAACCAAACTTACATAAATCTGTCTCTACAACTCCATTGCCATTGGACTTATGCTACTGATACAGGTAAAGACTCTGTTATACCTAGAACCATGGACTTTCTGACTTTAGAGTTAGCAACTCTTGTTTTATAAATGAAAAAAACCTATGCCTGAAGAGGAAAATGAAATCAGTCATTTAGACAAAATTGCCTCTCTATTTGAGGCAAGCACAGGATTCAAGGTAAATATTGTGGGCCCTGCCCTCCTGTAGATTATGCACCAGTAGGAAACACTGACAAGTAAATAGTCTAATGTTTGTTCAAGATCACATGAGTCATAGCATTCTTGGAAAGAGCACCCATAAAACCTGACAACAGGTAAATCTATTTTGTGATACCCTATGGTCAGATTATCATTTTCTTCTTCTTCTTCCTCCTCTTTCTCCTCCTCCTTCTTCTTCATTCTTTTTCTATGTACATGACAATAGAATGTATTTTGGTATATTATACATCATGAAGTATAACATTCTAATTAGGATTCTATTCTTGTGGTTGTACATGATGCAGAGTTACCTTGGTCCTATGTTCAAATACAAGGAAATTTATGTGTAATTCATTCTACCATACTTCGTATTCCCTTCCCTTCGTTCCCCTTTGTCTCATCCAATGGACTTTTATTCTTCCCCTCCCCACGACCATTGTTGGGGTTAGCATCCACATATTAGAGAGAACAGTCTGTCTTTGGCACACTGGCTTATTTCACTTAGCATAATATTCTACAGTTCCATCCATTTACCAGCAAATAATTTCATTCTTCTGAATGGCTAAAGGTCTTCATGGTCTTAATATCTAAAGCATAGAAAGTTTGGACAGAAACTCAGCAGGGCTGCCAGCTCAGACTCCCTTCTGTGAACATTAATATACCCATAACCTGTATATTGGCACCTCTAAGGACCAACTGTCGTTCTACTTGAGGGAAGACATTACTAACATCCCTAGCCACCACTACCACCTAATGGCTCTTTTGAGTACTATCTGCTCTTGTTCTGCTTCCTAATTTTTGAACTCAGGGATTCTGGTACCAGAGGGATGTTGACTATGTGACATCTATGTTCCTCTCCAATCTTGAGAACTTGATATTTTACAGTTGCCTGTGACGTTTGAAGTCAGTATTTGTCCAATATACGGCAATATATTTAATTGATTACAAATCAGTGAAAGGGATAAGATTAAAAAAAAAACAGAAAGAGAAAACACACCCAGAAGACTGAAAAGCACAGTATAAATGTGAAGAACTTGTCACACAGGTAGCAAGGTACCCCAGCCATGTGTGAATACTTGTTATTATTTTAGGGGTGGCTGTCACTTTTGCAATCATTGCCACATTCTTGGTAAATTCCAGAACACACTTTTACTTGATTATCTTACAAATTGTAGTCTCTTGCTTAAAGGAAACTTTTTAAACTGCAATTTATTCCCATACTATGAAATAATTAAAAGATTCCTTGGTGTCTAACTTGGCATTCTTCAACAATGTACCAAATTTGTCTACAGTTACCATGAAACAGACAAGGAGGATCAATGCTTATTAGAAAGACAGCTTGCTTTCAATCATAAATTAAATGAGTTATTGGTAGACAAATTACTTAAAAATAAAAGTTCTAAAACTCAGTTAAAATTTTACAGTGAAAAGCCATTTTTATTTATTTATCCAAAACTAATAATAAAATAGCAGCATTTATAGATATTTGATATGAGATGGTATAGATCTATGGTCTTTTTTTTAAAGGCTTGGAATGGTTTGGGTTTTGTGGGGTTTTTTTGTTTTTTGTTTTTTGTTTTTTTTTTTTGGTACCAGAGATTGAACCCAGGGGTGTGTGCTTAACCACTGAGCTGCATACACAATTCTTTTTTCTTTTATTTTGAGACAGGGTCTCACTAAGTTGCTTAGGGCCTTGCTAAATTGCTGAAGCTGATTTTGAACTTACAATCCTCCTGCCTCAGTGTCCAGAGCTACTGGGATTACAGGCATGCACCACCACACTTGGTTGAATGGTATTTAAATTTTTCTTCCAAGAACTAAGGTTACTGTCAGAAACTACTTGCTGCACGCTGGGCATAATGACACACACCTCTGGTCCTAGCTACTTAGGAGGCTGAGGTGGGAGGATCACTTGAGCCCACAAATTTGGGACCAATCTGGGCAACAGAGCAAGACCCCATCTCAAAAAGCAAAACAAAATAACAACATCAGAAAAATACCTTTTACAAATGCCAAAAACCTTTTAATTCTCAAAATTTCAAATTTTGTAAGAAATAAAATCTCAGAAGTTTGTGTCTGTTTTCTATTTTGTTATAATCCACATTTAACTCTATTTTCAATGATCTGTCATTGAATTAAAGTCATGTTCCAGGAGGAAGTTTATCCTATAGCTGCGTTTGGGTCACACACATACCCACACACACACCCACATATACAATGGTGTGTGAATTCTACAGTTCAAGGCTAATAGCTCTTGACAGATGGTGGCAGGGATCTTCTTCTCTTTTTCTTTTCAGAATGATGTTGAGAAAAACATTTTAGCCAATTGCAAGTCTTTTGACCTTATGAAAAGATCTTAGGAATTTTTGTTTGTTTGTTTAGTTTAGTTTAGTTTTTTACCACATGGTAACATCATTTGCCAATTGTGGGACAGTTTATGTACATATGCAGAGAGAACTAGAAAATATTCTCTAGAATAATTCAAATTCCCCCAGTGTGAGAAGCCCCTCAGAATAAACTTGAATTGCCTTTTCTGCTCTGTGGGAATTAACCTCAGACTCACTTCCAAGCATTGCATGGCTTCTTCCATGCTCCTCCCTGTTCTTTCTTTAGAGTATAAAACAATTCTGCCTTAGGCCATGAACCACAGACTTCTTAGAGAAGTGGAACTGCCTCTTTTCACCTCTAGGTGACACCACTCTCCACTGCTCTCCTCATAGAGAGATGATTGATTAAAATATATGTCCAGGAACCCATCTAAAGCAGTACTCAGGAGACCTTTTTCTGAGCTCAGGATCCCTTAAAAGTCATCCTTCATAGCTCTCACACGAGTATTGTGGTCTCATCTCAGCAAATTGGAGCTGTCACATTCCTATTTAGGTTGGCATTTGGTGTGTCTTTTCTTTCTCTGTTTTAGCCAAGGTCTTATATCTTACCCAGGCTGGCCTGGAGCTCCTGGGCTCAAGTGATCTTCATCTTCATGGTCTTTAATGTCCTAAGGTCTTGCACAGTGCCCACACCCAGAAGAGACTTATATAATGTTTGGTATTAAATGAATAAATTAAGAGTGTGAATGGATTTTGTAACACTATGACTGATAGAAAGGCAAACACTCAGTGATCCTAATAGATAAGGAAGAATGGCTTAAGGGTTGGAAGTTGTATTAGGAAAACTATTAAATAGACTTTCCAAAGAAATGGATTAACCGTAGGTAGTAAATTTAGCGAGGAAGACTAAAGAAAAGCTGTAATTAGGTGACTGAGAATGCCTGAGACATGATGCCCTGACAGAGAGAAAATTACCTGTCCTTTTAGCCTAATTTGGAATGAAGATATGTGCCCCTACCACTCCTCCTTTTGCCCTTGGCAGGAACCTCTGTTGGAAGCGATGGTGCTGGGCCTAGGCCCTTTATTGTTGGTCTTCATGCTGGGTCTGGTTGTGACCCCACCGACCCTGGCTCAGGATAACTCCAGGTACAAACACTTCCTGACCCAGCACTATGATGCCAAACCAAAGGGACGGAATGACAGATACTGTGAAAGCATGATGGAGAGACGAGAGCTGACCTCACCTTGCAAAGACACCAACACCTTTATTCATGGCAACAAGGGCAACATCAAGGCCATCTGTGGAAATAGAAATGGAAACCCTCACGGAGAAAACTTAAGAATAAGCAAATCTCCTTTCCAAGTCACCACTTGCAAGCATGCAGGAGGGTCCCCTCGGCCTCCATGCCGGTACCGGGCTACAGCAGGGTTCAGACACATTGTTATTGCCTGTGAAAATGGCTTACCCGTCCACTTTGATGAGTCCTTTTTCCGTCTATAACCAGCAGGCCACTGCTGGCCACTGGCCCTGAGCTGGTTTTGCTTTCCTTTCCTTGAGCTTCCCCTCTATACTTCAGAACAATGACAGCAGTATTCATTTCCAGGCGCCCAGAAAATAAGCCATCTGCATCTTTTGTGTTTTACAACCTATGTTTAATAAATAAAAATGTCTCTGAAACCAGTAAGAATCACTCAACTGCTTCCAAAGAGGATAGAATGGAGTAGAAACATCTTTTTCTTTATCACCAGTTCCCCATCAGTCAATGGGGAGGTATACTTTACCTTTGTGGGAGGGTAAAGTTGATAAGCTCCTCTATAGAGAGAGCTGGGAAAACTCTAGGGCTTACAGTTATAAGAAGAATTTTCAAGAGATGAAAATTGTTTTTTTTTCTTTTTAAGTAATGAGCCAACATTAATCTCACAATTATGAGACCTTGGGAAGAAAGTTTAAAACCAACTACCAATACATTAATTATTAATTATGTTTTCTATCTCTCTCTTTCCTTTTCCTCTCTCTCTCTCTCTCTCTCTCTCTCTCTCTCTCTCACACACACACACACACACACACACACAAATGGCTCTTTTCCAGGAAATCACATGGTTCCAGGAACAGAACAGAGGCTCTGTTCTGCTGAAGTTAGAACCCAAGTACCAAGTGAACCTTCAGAAGCGTGTTTCCATTGGTCTGGGAAGTAGAGTATATCCAGCGTCAGCTCTTCCTGCCACTCTTCTTCCCAGAACCACTTTACTTCCTCTCTTTCCAACACAATTATCTTGTATCTTCAGCTGTAATCAAAGGAATAGGATATAGAGGTTTGTGTCATTCTGTACAAAGGCAAAAGGTGACTATGAAATAGGAGGTGACATTTAAAAGAACAATAGTTATGTTTGATAGTGGTCACTATCACCAAATCAAAGGATGGAGTAGTGGTGGAATGAAGTAGTCCCTCATAAGCCATCGCAGTCACTCACATGGTGGGCTCTGCCCTCAAGAAGCAGGATCTCTGAAAATAAAGAACAGTAGTAAGGCTGGAGATATAGCTCAGTGACAGAGCACTCATCTAAGCCTATTTGTGCAAATCCCAGGGTTCCATCCCCAGCACTGCCAAAAAAAAAGGGACAGGTATCCATATATGTCAAACAAGGAGTTCAGCTGGGGCCAGACCTTGAACTACACAGGTAGAGATGCATCTGTTTGACTCTCAAAAAACTATCTTTGTTGCTTCAGATTGCTCACTTCCTTTCAAATCAGAGCTGATTCCTCCCCAACATCCCCATTGCCACCAGTAGAATAAACTCAGACCAGCGTCACAGTTCAAGTCAATTCTAGGAGCGACTGCCAGATGGCAGTATTGGTCTAGTCAGAGTTGTCAAATGATTTACACCTCCATCCCTGAAACCTCAAGGGAGAGAAGCAATTCTGAGCATGTCTTTAATATCCTAATTTAAAACACACACGTATACTTACATGTATGAAATCATATGTATGTATGTATATACACATATGATTTCCAAAAGGATCTGATTTTATTCCACTTGGAGAATAGTCATATGAGAGCAAAGGCTAGTCTGAAATTTTACTCTATTCCCTTTTCTCCACCTCCCTCAATTCCTAGATGTAAGCTATTCAAATTGGTGCATAAACTTTCTTTGACCTGAGTTTGTCTAAACTGTTGGAGCTTCCAGTAAATCAAACCTTCCCCATACCAGGTAATTATATCACAAGACAATTCCAGTTCTGTGTAGATTTGCATTTCCTCTTTTTGTACCTGGACCACACAGGCTTGGGCAGCCACCCAGCAAGTCCTGTTCTGGTTCACTGTACAGCTTCTTTCTGGAAAAGAGAGTTTTGCATTTAGAGAAGTGCCATGTTGGAAAATCGTTCACTCGTGGGAAAATGAGGATGGGAAAAGTTGGGAGCAGAAAAGAGTGGGGAGATGGTACATAAAAGAAGGGGAAAGACGAGACTGTGGCGTCAAGGAAATGTCAACGTGTCATTCTCAATCCCTCTCTCCAGAACCCAGTTCTCACTGTCCCTTCTCCTGCCTCTTGCTTTCTCTAGGCACCACTAAGGCGGAGATGGCTCTGCAGAGGACCCACTCATTGCTTCTGCTCTTGCTGGTCACCCTGATAGGGCTACAGCTGGTGCAGCCTTCCTATGGCCAGGATCGCATGTACCAGCGGTTTCTGCGGCAACACGTGGACCCTCAGGAGACAGGTGGCAATGATAACTACTGCAACTTGATGATGCAAAGACGGAAGATGACTTTACATCGGTGCAAGAGCTTCAACACCTTCATCCATGAAGACATCTGGAGTATTCGCAGCATCTGTAACACCGAAAATATCCAGTGCAAGAATGGCAAGATGAACTGTCATGAGGGTGTAGTGAAGGTCACAGACTGCAAGGAGACAGGAAGTTCCAGGACCTCCAACTGCAGATATCGGGCTAAGGCAAGCACTAGGCGGGTGGTAGTTGCTTGTGAAGGTGACCCAGAGGTGCCTGTGCACTTTGACAGATAAATGCCATCCTTGGGTGCTATATAGCCAGTGATTGGCCTCTGATTTACTCCAAGAATAGCAATGAGTAATGCATTTAAATTGTTTTGGACTCTGTCTCCTCTGCTCATTACTTACACTTTCCCTCTATGTAACCCATTTTATTAAGTATCCAAGAGAAATGGAGGCAAACTATGGTGAGTCCAGGCTTTTCTATTATAAGCTTCTTTATAAAAGACAAGTCAACTTAGCCGTTTCAGATCCTATACTCTGGAATTGAGTCATTATGTGTATTTATATCACATTTCAAGCATTTTAAAGTACTTTCTTCTCAGTTATCTCATTTTCATACCCCTTGTACCCCTTTTATGCTGACAATGCTGTTAAGGGAATTTACTGAAGACCATTAAGTTAGTGGAAGATCTGAGACAAAATTTCAGTTGAATTGGCTCCTCATTTGGGGCTTTTTCTGTTCATTATAAGGAGTGTTTTGAAAGTGTCTGCTTTTTATTATTCCCAAAATTTAGCTGTTTGGGGAGTCATTAAATGTTTAGAAATAAAATACTGGTAAAATCAGAGCTCTGTGTGATTTGACATTGTTATGTTTGTGTCTGATTATATCAAGGAATGGTATTAGAAAATTTCTCTTTTTCTTCCCAAACTTTTGATTCATCCTAAGATGTTAGGGTATTAAAAATGTACTAGATCATTAAGATTTACTTACTCTTAAAGTCAGGCATAGTGGAACAGGCCTGTAATCCTACCTACGTAGGAGCCTGAGGCAGGAAGATCACAAGTTGAAGGCCAGCCTGGATAACTTAGTGAGACCCCCATCTCAAAATAAAAATTAAAAAGGGCTGGGAATGTAGCTCAGTGGTAAAGCATCCCTGGGTTCAATTCTCAGAACTGAAAAAAAAAAAAGGACTTCCTGCTTGAAAGATTTTTCATGTTTCCCTTGTAATTGTAATAAAAGACTTAATCTGCAAGTATCTAAAGGGATTTTTTTATTTTTACTTATTATCTTTATTTATTAATTTTTCTCCTATACTCTAAGTTCTGGTCTTCCGTATAAACACCTGAATATCCTCATACATTCTGGCCAGAACGCACATCAGATCCATGACCACAGCACAGAAACCTTTATCTTGTTTATTCCAGAAGAAGTAATTCATCTCAAAAACAAGTCTCACACCCATTCCCTCACCCTTTGGAGATTCAGAAATAAATTGGAGAGCAGAGATATACGAAGATGCTACCTGCAAGGAGGGAAGTGTATGGGGAGGGGAGAATAAATTGAAAATATTTAAATAACAGAAGATTCAGAAAGAAATTTTATTCGAACTCCCCTTATCTGATTAATGCATAGCTTCCTGAAAATACAGCCAGCATTAACTTCCCTCCATGGGAATCTCCAGGCAGGAGGTATTCCAAGACAATTGTACAAATAAACCTTACCTGAACCTTTCATTTATACTCTTTAAAAGTCCATTTGCTTTCCCAGAGAGCACTTCCTCTCTCTAAAAGCACGTCAGGGCCCCAGTGTTTGAAACCTGTGGAGGGGCTTGGTGGTGTGGCAACAGTACTTGCAGGGACAACAGAAGCCATTTCACTCCACTGCAGAGTTCAGACATTGCTTCAAGATCACAAGCATCATGACAAATTCACAAACACTCATCAGGCTTTCCAGTCACTGAAATGCCATGGAATTGGAGAGTATTATTGAAGTTTGGTGCCTATTCATTTCCATAATGGACTCAGCAAAGTTCTTTTCTTTGGACTTCAAAGTTCCATTAAGGATCATCAGCCTACTGCAGTGATTCATGATACTCTTTTCGTCAATGACCTTATCTGTGGAGGTCTGTTGGGTGCCATGGTGGGATTCTTGGTTTGGGGATATTTTTTCCCCTCAATTAATGTTGTAAAAATTCTGATACAATCTCAGATTGGTGAAAAATTTCAATCTTTCCTCAAGGTTTTAAAAACAAATCAGGGTAGAATAGGACAGGAGACAGACAAATCTTTTCAGAGGTGTCCACCTGAATGACCATGGGTCCCTTATCTCTTGGCACATAATCAATGCCACTTACAAGTTCTTGTTGAAGGTTATATGAAAAAAGTCATTGGTGAAGTTCCATTTATCAACTAAATAGACCTAGAAATGCAGTTTGGTCTTGTTCCTAATTGACTCAAATTCAAGTTGGTGTCATTAAGTCCACGTCTCAGGAATTATGGGCAAAGCTATTTTCTTTAAGCTTCAACAACAAGAACAAAACAATAAAAGGTTTCAGCAGGAAACTTAAAAAGAAGAAGAAGGGGTAGAGAATAAGGAGGAGGGGAAGGAGGAGAAGAAGGAAGAAGAAAAAAAATAAGCTAACTTATCCCTTCATCCTAGCCCTCCCACAAGTTATGAATAGAACCAGTTTCCTTTCCTCCTATTGATCTGTCTACTGTTGATTCATAGGTCCTTGACCATAGAACGTTGGTAGATGGAGGGCAAAGTTTTCCTCCAACAGTTTGTCCATATATGAGTAAGGACAGCCAGGCACAGTGGCAACATCTATAATCCCAGTAACTTAGGAAGTTGAAGCAGGAGAATTGCCAAGTTTAAGACCAGCCTCAACATCTTAGTAAGACTCTGTTTCAAAAATTAAAAAGGATTAGGGATTAGGTCAGTGGTAAAGCACCCCTGGGGTTAATCCCCAGTCCAAAAAAAAAAAAAAGAGTGAGGACAGTGAATTCTGCCCTTGGCACCGTCCATGTTGTCATGGGAGTTGGTAACTGTGGAGCAAAATAAAATATATTTTGTCTTTGTCCTGATTTCTGTCACAGAACTCATGAAATCTACTTTGTCTGATAGTATATTATAAGACCCCCCTTTGAGAAAGGTCCTGGTACATGTCCAGGAGGAAGGAATGCTGTACAGAGAAACTGGGAGCAAACTGACTTGCTGGGTTTCCCCATCCAGTCTATTAGCATTAAATATGTGATGGGGTCTCCATAAAAGCTCAAAAGGACAAGGTTTGGGAACTCCCAAATTGCTGGACCTGCACAGGTTCCTGGAGGCCTGGAGAGAGCATGGAAGGAAGCTCTGTGCCTCTTCCCCTATACCTTACCTTATGAAGCTTTTAATATGTATCCTTTGTAATGTCCTTCATAGCAAACCTCATTTAAAAAACCTTTTGGAATTTCTGAATTAGGAATATTTTGTTATTATAATGAGCCCCTTATCATCTGAGTTTTTGCTAATGATGTGACTTAGATTAAGTTCCCTAGATAGCCTCTAGATGGGGCTGGTGACCAGAAAGAACAAGTGATTATGGAGTAGAACTTTCAGCTTCAACAATTGACCTCCAATAATGGTTGGCAGGCAAGGAAAACAGTCTCCATAAGAACTCACGGACAATGCAATTTGAACAGCTCCCAAGTTGCTAGGTACTGGGAGGGAGGCACATCCTAAGAAGGCATGGAACTTCTAGATCTCCATCCCTTGCTCTATTCATCTCTTCCACCTGGCTAATGGAGGTCAACAATATAAAATGGAGTAATTTATATCAAAGTTCTAACCCAAAGGAGTTGGGAATACCCATAAAGCTCTCTTGAGTGCATTTCTAAATTACCTTGATACCTTGTAACCAGCTTATCTCAGGAATTTCCTCTAGCCATAGTATTTCAGATAAGCCAAGACTGTTGCCTAGCAATGGCTATTTCTCCCAAAACAATAATGCCAACTCCAACAATGAATTCCTGAGACCAATTACCTAAGTTTTGAAGCTGTTTACCTGATTTCTTTGTCTTTAAAAACTCCCTCTTTGTTCCAATTACTTGTGTGTGCCTAGGATTTTCTTAGTCTGTATACCCCAAGTTGAAAAACTTTACTAATAGTAAATAAAATTTTTTGTTCCAGAGGTCCTATATTTCTTCTTTCTTCCTTCCTTCCTTCCTTCCTTTCTTTCTTTTTTTTTTTTTTTTTTTAGGTTAGCATAAACTGTTGTCAGAGAAGTCAAATCCAAAGGAAAATCACCCTGGAAAAAGAGGTGACCCATGGAAATCAAGTGTAGTATCCATCAAGGAATCTCTTCAACAATAGGAATGCAAAGACCCAATGTACTGTTTACTGATCCAAGAAAAAGAATTTGGACTCAACAGAGTGAGTTTGAACATTTTATTACTTGGATATTCCTTGGTGGTGGCAGGCCAGGACAGTATGGGGCCCACACCATGCCTACAAGCAGTCGGAATATATATAGGACAGATAGTGTTCCTACTTTATAGATGGATTCCTTTACTTCATAACCAAGTTCATTCTGCTAAAGATCAGACATTCGAGAATTGGCCAGATTCTTTCCCCCTTACCCTCTATAACATTTTTTTAAATGCTTCTTAACTCACTGCCAGGGACAAAAGACTTCCTAGGTACTAACCTGCATTAAACCCACAACACTCCACACCTTCAGTGGCTCAAAGACCCTTTAATCACTCTAACATTCTTATGCCTGCCCATATCTTCCACAAAGTCATTAGAACAGGCTCCAGAGGCACATTGCATTCATATTCCACAACAGCAGTACAAAGAGCAAGAACCTATCATCAAGCATGGAAAATATTGCATCATATTAAAGGAAGGGACATTAACCATCTAAAGAATGGATCAATCAAAAGGACATCCATAGCACTAATTTTTTAGACACTTGGGTTGCGACATGAAGGTGTCTTTACTCCAGTTCCATTTTAGTCAAGTCCATTCTGTCTCATCTGTAGGTTGGACTACTCAGGGGAATGCATGTGCTGTGGTCACAGTGAGTCCTGAGCAGATTCAAGAATCAGTCTGATTGGCATGATGTATAACTTCTGTTGCCCAATCCAGGAAGAGGTTACTTGTTGCTAACCTATGGAGATTGAAAAATGTTTAATAGGCACCCATAATGAAAAACTCAACTCCACAAAGCAATATATAGGCCACTGTACAATCTTGATAGTAGAGTATCCTGTACAGCAGACTTGCCCAAGCACATAAACCAGACTAATCTATCTATTTGCACTTCACAGGAATAGAAAGAATAAAACACCTTAGGAATATATGACTGCCATAAACTGTTACAAAGCGTTCCTGTCAAAATTTCGATGAAATTCCTCACAGAAATAAAATAATAATAATAAAACCCATCTGGAATCCCAAGAGATCCTGAATAACCAAAACAATCCTGAGCAAAAAGAACAAAGCTGAAGGCATTAACATCCCTGACTTCACAATGTGAAGGAAAGCTATCATAACCAAAACAGCAAAGGTACTAGCAAAAGGTATATAAACAACACAGAGATGAATGGAACTAAACCCAGAAATAAGTCCATGTATTAACAGCAAACTGGTTTTGGTAAAAGTAACAAGAACATACATTAAAGAAAGACAATCTCTTCAGCAAATAGTGCTTAGAAAACTAGATCACCCCCACAAGAATGAGGTCCTAATTAAAATAAGATATATTCCATGCTTGTATGTTTATATCATAATGGATTCCACTGTTATGTATAACCAAAAAGAACCAATCAAAAAAAAGAAAAAGAAAACTGGATCACCATA